CCTGTAAAAAAAAAAAAAAAAAAGAAAAGAAAATACAAGGGGATCCTAGACAGTGAGCCACCCTTAAGCTTCACTGCAGAATGAGAGCATGGGAGTGGGGTGGGGGGAGAGAAGGGAGGAAGCCAGAGTTCAGAGACTAGACCGTGTGGGCAGGCCAACAGCACATCTATTCATTCAAATCACCCTCACCTGAGTCTCCAAAACACATAGCAAGTGCTGTAAACACTGGGGAGAGCTGTTTATAAAAGGATCTGTAAAGGGAATCTTTGTCCTGTAATCAGGTGACTGACAGGTACTACAGACACTTTAGCTTGTCCCTCCTCCCCCCATCACTCACCTTGCCTCTCCTCCTTTCCCAACTATCAGTGCATTAAAGTTTTGATCACTGTACACCCTGGCAATTTGCTATTAGCAACAGGTTTATGGCAAAAAAAAAATTAAGTGACATGAGAAAGTGTAATATTTAGGAGTGCCATCAAAAAGAGCACAGCCTTTGTTTTAGCTGATGATCCTGGGGAAGTCAAGGTACAGACACCTGGCTTTTGATAATATTTATGCAATTATTTCTTATTTTAAAAAACAATAATGAATAAATTTTTAACATCAGAAAAGTAAAATGTTGGCTACATTCTAAGTACAGTACATTTTTTTAAAAACAATTACATACATGCATACTCTTCAAATATTGACATTATTCAAAATGAAATACTCAGAAAGTTTTTGGTAATTTATTCACAGCTCTGTATTAAGAGTCACTGGTAACAGGACATAAGGACAAAATGACCAACGGGCTCAGAAAACTAAACATTCATTTCAAAGAACACAAAACCAAGATAAAGCAAAGATGAGTCCAAAATCCTCTCCCTGTACACAAGAAGTGTAAGTTAAACAAATACCAAAAGTTTTGTTTAAGCAAAAACACATTCAACCATAGAACATTAAAAAAACTAGCAGGATCATTTCTACCTTTATTTGGAAAGCTAGGAGAGAAAGCAAGGTAACCTGGGAATTTTCTAAGATGCTTTTCATTAGCCATTATTTATGGGACATTATATAACATTTTGATTCAAGCTATTACACATAAGCTACTAGGGAAAAACTTAATGGTCTTGTTAGTTAACTATGATTTTAATTGTAACCCTGCATATTACTGGTTTGAAGCCAACACTGTTCAGTCTTATTGGTCATCATTGTCCTATATTTGAAGATATCTTTAAACTCATCAAGCTTGGAAGATACTGAAATATTAACAGTCTTAATAGTAGAAAAACTATATGTTAAAAGATCTAACCTTGAGACTCAGTAAAACAAAGTAATCTGAGATGTTTCCATGGTTAAAACAATGCCTGGTATTCTTGTACATAAAATTTACTAAACATGTGGCTATCATAAAACAAAATATCTTTACCATTCCCTTCAAAATTCTTTGGCCTTTACAAATTCACATGAATTATGAATCCTTTTTTCAACAGTTTCAATGACATTGTGCCTTTTTTTTTTAGAAAAATCACTTAAGTTGTAACATACAATAAATAGGTAACATTAGTCTTTCTCTTTATTGCTATAGAATATCTTAACTGTAAAAAAAAATAAGAGAAAAAAACTGACCCCAAAGTTCCTAAAATGTTTGTGAAAGCAAACATTTTGGCTGTTTTTCCTTCTTTGAAGAGTAATAGAAATAAATGTCAGAGGAATGCTACCAAGGAGCCAAAACCAGGCTCCTTTCCTCCCATCGTCAGCACTAAGACAGGACAAGAGACCTGATTCAAAAGGAAAGCACAGTATCATCCAGAAACAGGCTGCATAGGAGGGAAGTTTGTGCCCACGCTCTGAACCAAAAGCCCCCTGCACAACACCTGCCCTCCCTGTGTCCCTTCCTTCTGAGCAGGACTGCTTGGTGGTTTATCATCTTTGCTTAACAATGGCTGTTGTTCCACAGAGTACCATAGATCTATGTATTGTTATAGGCTGTGACAATAGCTTACTTGGCAAATGCATTTCACTTCTATGATCATAATATGTCCCACAACTTGGACCATTATTGAAGTAAACAAATCTACTCCCTCACAGCATTTAACAACTCAGCTCAACTCCACCTGTGCACTCTCTCACCCCAGGCCTTCCAATGAATCTAGTCTTCACGAGTGATGAGTCTACCTGGAGACAAATGAACACGCCTCTAAACATGTAATTTCTATGTCTAGCACAGTGACTTTCTTGTAATAGCTATTAATAAATATCTGCTGTCATAGTTTAACAAACTAAACAGCATTAGCATTCAATTTTGTCTTTATTCCTATGGCATAGAGATAAGATAGAAAAGCTGACTCAAAAGTATCAATCATTTACTGGGCCAGGTGTTAGGTACTACACGTGTTTATGCCTAAAAAGAATGTATGAGTGAATTTAAACTTTAAATGTATTGTAAGAAAGGATATGGTGACCAGGCACAGGGGCCCTTGCCTGTAATTCCAGCTACTCAGGAGGCAAAGATTGGAAGGGTCATAGTTCAAGACCAGACCAGGCAAAAAGTGAGACCCCCCTGCATCCCAATCAATAATTGGTGATATGCGCCTGTGGTCCCAGCTACAAGGGATGTAGGTAGATGGCTGGCAGTCCAGGTTTCAGGCAATAATGTGACATCCTATCTTTAAAACAACCTAAAAGCAAAAAGGGCTAGAGGTATGGCTCAAATGCTATGCCCTGTTTTCAAACCCCAGTACTGAAGGTGGTGGGGGGAACTTTTTATAGAAAGAACTTTTGTAGAATTATCTTTTTTTTTTTTTTTAAATCGGACTTCTGCATCCTATATTACATTGGTTTTAACTGGGCATGCTCACTTATTTCATGGCTTGCCTCACTGCATTACCTTTTGTGTGTTAAGAATTTAAAGAAAAATAATTAATTTATAAGCTGGTAGTGGTGGTACATACTATAATCCCAGCACTCAAAAGGATGAGGCAAGAGGATCATAAGTTCAAGACCAGCCTGAGCTACATAAAGACCCTGTCTCAAAAAATCAAGGGCTGGGGATATAGCTCAATGGTAGAGTGCTTGCCTAGCACTGGGTTCCATCCCCAGCACCAAACACACACTCAAAGAATTTAAAATAGCTACATTTGCTAGGGGCATGGCTCAAGTTGTAGAGCACCTGCCTAGCAAGTGTGAGGCTCTGACTTCAAACCCCAGCACTGGAAAAAAAAAAAAAAAAAAAGAGAGAGAGAGACAAAAAAATCACTACATCTAATAGGGAAGAGAGCATGAAGAGAGAGGGAGGAGAAATCATATTTGTTTGGAAAATGCCACTTTGTTCTTCATTTGGGTGTCAGATATTCAGCTTGGAACTCACCCTACTTGGAGTATGTGTGGAGGGGAAGGTGGATAAAGGAGTACAAAGTCACAGCCAGATAGCAGGAAAAATTCTGCCATTCTATTACAACGAAGGGTGATTACAGTCAACAATACCAAATTATGTAATTCAAAAAGCTATGAGAGGACTCTGGATGTTCTTACAAAACATGACAAATGTTTGAGGTGATGGATAACCTAAGTATCCTGAGTTGTCATTTCATAATGTATAAATGTACTGAAACACCACACTGTACCCCATTAATGATGCACAGTAACCTGTTAATAAAATAATTTTAAAAACGAAATGTTATAAACCCATACAAATCATGTGTCAAATGCTATTAAACTATACACTTACTAAAACCTGCAGACTTAAATAAAATAGTCTTAGAACAGAGTAGATAAATATAACTAAAGTAGCAACATATATGATGAAATAGTGACATTATTTTTTAAATCAGATTTCTAATCACCATCAGTCCTTCCAAATTGCCTCAAAATGTGCCTCATACACAAGTAGAATTCTGTGCTTCTTTTGCAGCAATAATTGCTATCAGGAAATCTTAACCTCATGAAGAAGTTCAAATACAAAAAAAGAGAAAAAGACTGAGCTTATTAATAATTGTATTAAATATTTTACCTGCAGAATTTAAAAATGAAAGCTTTTGAGGGAAAAGGACTTAACCAAAACATAACCACTCTCTCATATGCCCACCAAGATCTGGCCCAAAAACCTCTGTTAAGAAATTATTACTCACATTTTGGGTGTCAAACAAATACTCTATTTTAAACATTGTAGTCCAAATTGTCAAATTCCATTTCAGAAAGTAGCTCAGTATCACTTTTACATATTCTGTCTTCATTCCCAAATAAATTTCAGGAATAGAACATAGAAAATACAGAGGAAAAATACTAGGAAGAAATACTAAACTTGATGCCATCCTTCTTTAACATCAGTGGAAAGCACAGAATTTTTCTGATCCTAGCCTATCATATACATTTTCACTCAAATGATTAGTCAAAGACTTGTAAATCTTCCAACTAATTGCAAAGAGTTTCCAAACTGGCACTACAGGTATTAATTAGTTTTATGCAACAAGGTAGTTCAACTGTAGGAAATTCTTTCTTTTGACAAAGTTGAAGAGAATACTGAATAGATCATATTGATTTAATTTGATAGCAGCTGTGCTGTGATTTCAAAGAACAAGAAAAAAATGTATCATTCAACAGTTATTTAAAAAGCAAAAGACTACAAATATAAGGAAATACAAACCACTTTTAGGAGATGAGAAAACAAGGAGCAAGTTACCCAAAATCTCATTTTCAAATTTAAATCCATGTTGTCAGTTGTCCAAAATATTCAAAGTTAAAGTTTGTGCTATGAAATTGTGCAAATATGTTCTATTAAGGATTGGAGCACACCAACGCACTACTATAATATTTTCCTTCCTAAATTACCCCCATATACAGATAATAGACAAGTCTGAGAATGAAGGTTAACTGAACTTAGATATAAGTCCCACCAGGAAAAGTGTTTAGTGTATGAGTTGTATAGTTTGATTTAAAAACAAAACAGAGGGGTAGGGGTGTGGCTCAACTGGTAGAGCGCCTGCCTTGAGTTCAAACCCCAGTACTGCCAAAAAAGAAAACAAACAAACAAGCAAAAAAAAAAACAAACACCACAGCATCTTTTTGTTTCTATATAACTTAACAAAATCGTCAGTAGATGTCCAACAATTGCACTATATTGCCACTGGCTTCAGACATCCAATTAAATGCACTGCCCCTTCACTGGTGTGAATGAACAGAAGCATGGTAAAAACAAAAAGCAATTATTTAAAATTCAAAAACATAACAAAATCCTCCCAGATTGAAGTCAAGTACCCGGAAATTTAGTACCTCGTTCTTTAATAGCTAAAATCTTTCTGGTATGGATTCCAATACAGATTTCATTAAGCATATTTACTGGAAAAATATAAGAGGCATTTTCACAAAAATCACAAGTTGAGTGGAATAATTGTAACTGATATATAAATAAGGATTTACTAAAAAAGGCTTCCAGAGGTGGTGTTTTAAATCAAAGTTTTAAATACGAAAGGTGTCTTGTGTTGCTGACTTGTCTCAGCTTCCGGGTGCTCATTACTCCACAGTTACAGATTTGGCAAGATTCCGTGGAAAATCAACCTGTAAAAAAAAAAAAAAAAAGCAAGACTTGAGAAATCATACTGACTGGGGAAAGGATTTTTGTTTAGAGCCTGGCTTGGTGCTATGTGCCTAAAGTCCCTCAGGAGTTTGAGGCAGGAGGACTGCATTAGCTCGGGAGTTCAAGGCCAGCCTGGGCAACATAGCAAGCCTCTATCTTAAGAAAAAAAATGTTATCTTGGAAAAAAATAAAACTGAAAAACTTAGGGGAAAGAATTCTACAGGTACTAGAATTCTACAGGGGACACTAGAAACATAAGAACAGGATATTTTGGTTGCCACAGTAATTGGGGGACCAACAACACTAAAAGCTCTGCAATGTACATTGTAGGAGAGTTCCAAGCAACAAAGAATCGCCCCGCCCAAAATGCCAACAGCTGCCCTCTTAAGAACATGCACTAAGAAAATAGGTGATTCCCCAAGGAGAGTCCCAGTCTTGGTAGTGACCTCTACAGTTCCTTCAAGTTCTATGAGTAAGAAGATACTGTGATATAACCTAAAAAATGGGCCAGGAAAAGGTAACAGGTGACAGACATAAATTTGATGGAGTTCTAAAATGCTATTGTTCAAAATTTAGGAGAAAAGTATCCGGATGAGCCCACTGGTAAAAAGCCATCACGAAGTTTCTGCAGTAATAGATCACTTACGTCATAGCCTCTCAACACAGCAAGATGGAAGGCCAGCAACTGTAAGGGGATCACACTGAGAATGCCCTGCAAGCAGTCCACTGAGTGGGGCACCTTGATCGTTCTTTTTGTGTTCTTAATGGTCTCAGTATCCTCCTTATCACAAATCACCACAGGGCGGCCCTGGGAAGAAAATCACACACATAGACACAGTCACTAGTATGCAAATGCAGGGCTAGAGCACATGAATGTGCAAGTCTGCACTGCACAGTCTCCATGCAGCCTTGCTAGTAAGACTTTTTAAAACTCACAAGCTGTGTGGTTAAGCTGGATTGATCTCATTTTGCAGAAACAGTCTTGGTTCCATCTATTGTAAGATCTATGAGCTAGGGCCCATCAAAACTCTTTGATGTCTCATTTTTATAAATTCCAAAGCAAAAGGGTTTACAGGTAAACAAGTTTTGTAAGTCACCTCTCACGCACTGGTCTATCACTTTAAGTGTAAAGTCCAAATAAGCATTAGAAACATGACTCTCTTGAGCTGCAAGGTGTGCTTACAGCAACCTGACTTACCTGACGAGCAACTACCTGCTGAAGAGCATTCTGACACTTGGCGTACGTGTGGTCTCTCGTGATGATCATGATGACAGGCATCAGTTTATCTACCAAAGCCAGGGGCCCATGCTTCAATTCACCAGCAAGGATGCCTTCAGAGTGCATGTAAGTAATTTCCTTGATTTTCTAATAAACAAAGAATCAGATGGGCATTCAGTCCATTTTTCAAAATTCCATCTGAGGTAAATACTATACAAAACATTTGATAAGTCATTGTCTATCCAGAAGTAGTAGAAGACCACTGATCTGTAAATATACCTAGCAAGTTAACAGACCGTCAGTTCTATAACACCAACAAGTATTTGGAAGGCTGAAAGTTCCACAAGGATCTCCTTAAGACTTCAGATCATCATAAAAATATTCTTATTTCTTTGTACCTGTTCTACTGACTTCACATTTAATTTCAAGTTTATTTCTTATCTAAAGAACTGTAATCATCTTTTTTCCCCCCTGTGGCAATATTGGGGTTTGAACTCAGGGCTTCATGCTTGCTACGCAAGAGTGCTACAGCTTGTGCCACACCTCCAGCCCTTCTGGTTATTTTGGAGATAGGGACTTGCTTTTTGCCCAGGCGGGCCTGGACCATGATCATTGTATTTTCTACTTCCTGTCACAGATGAGATGACAGACATGAACCACCATACCCAGCTAATTAGTTAAGATGGGGTCTCATGAACTTTTTTGCTCAGGCTGGTCTCAAATCTTGAGGCTCCCAATCTCAGTCTCTCAAGTAGCTAGTATTTCAAGCATGAGCCACTGGTGCGAGGTGAGAACCTGAATCTTTTATTCATATTTGGATAATACATAAACTTAATTACTTGCTAAACTCAAGGTATCACATTAAAACATACTCTTCTTGTTTTTCACTTCTGAATTAAGTTCTGTGGCACTCTCCCAAGGTAAACAAACCATAATTCACGAATATAGAGGCACCTTAAAAAGTTCCACCTACTTTGTTCATTCATTCTAAAAGTATCAATGGGGTTGGGGGTGTGGCTCAGTGATGCAGGGATTGCCTACCTAGAATGTGCAGTCCCTGGGTTGGATCCCCAGCATTGCAAAATAAATATAAAATAAAAAAATTAACTTAAAAGATAAAATAAAAGTATGACTATGTGCCAGGTCCATAAATTAATAGGCTGAAATGAACCTGGTGAGAAAGCTTACCAGTGCTCCTTCAAGACAAGTGGCATAATGATAGCCTCGCCCCATTATCAGGACTGACTTCTGATGATACAGTTCTGTTGCCAGTTTCTGAATTTCATCATCCATGCTCAGCACTTCCTTAATCAAGTCTGTGAAGAAACATTAGCAAAATCTATGAAAAAGGAACAATTTATTGAACAGATAAAACATTATTATATGGCTAGCAGACAACAAAAGAAGAGTATTTCTATTCTTCCGCAGTATCAGCTAGGGATTTTTTTTTTTTTAATACATGGGAACAGAAGCAGAAAGATCTTATTAATGAAGCAGCTACAAACCACAGCTTCAAGAAGAGGGGAGGGCAGGCAGAGTGGCACAAGCAGTAAGAGGGCCCACCTAGTGAGCATGAAGCCCTGAGTTCAAACCCTAGTACCACCAAAAAAAAAAAAAAAAAAAAAAAAAAAGAGGAGAGCTTCGCCTTGGAAAACAAGTGTGTGTGATTGAGGGTCTTCATACCTGGCAGCCGTTTCAATCCAAGCATGATCTCCTTGCGCCTCTCCTGCATAGAGATCCTATCATCACACATCATAAGAGCGAACATCACAAGAGACACAAATTGGCTGGTGTAAGCCTGAAACACCACGAAAAAGCAGAATTAGCTGCAGTTGCTTTTTAAGAATTTGGAATTTTTAATTTAAAACAGATGAAAATAAGATCCCATTAGTTTTACAGTGCATACTGCTCATCTTTTAAAGCAGCATTAGCAGCAACTACATTGCATCAGTAGTGGATATACTCTCCCTATTCTTCTTTCCCACCCATGAACGAATGACTTAACCATTACTGCTCAGGTACAAAAGCGAAACTCATCTTCATGCCCTGAGTGCTCATGAGACCCTATCACCTCAAGAAAGGAAGGAAAAGAAACATGCCAAAGGAATATAAACAATAAACCTGCATGCACCTAAACAGATTAAAGCAAGCGCTGGAAGGACTCTCCTTGGGGGTATGGAGTTGGCACTGGTGTTATTGGATTTCTTTAAAATGTTCTTTGATTTTTTTGTTTTTAACCTTTGCCTACTGCCTGTTCCTCATTCTCACTTCTAAAAACAAAAAGGTTAGCTAAAAATAGGAGAAAGTTTAACAATAGGAAAAGTAAGTAGAAATTAGAATAGTCTCCAATTCTGCTAATAGGAATAAGTCCATTAATAACAGTTATTTATTACTGGCATTTATGGATACTGCCCTTTTGTTTGTACTGATTTTCTTTCTTTATATTAAGAACATTCTTAGCAGGCACAATTTTAAATGGCTTTTACTCCTAATTAATATTATGAGCACTTTCCTAAGACAGGTTCTTTCTCTCTGTCCAGTGGTGGTACTTTTCCTCCCTTTAAGCCTCACATGCCCCACCAGTTACGGGCACAAGTAATAAGACTGTCGTGACAATTAATCAAGACACATAAAGCACCCAGTCACGGCCTGACATACAGGCTCAAAATATACTAACTTTGTTGGTAGAAGCTTGAACTAAAAGACATTTTTGTTCTTATGCAATAGTACTGTGAGTATTTCAAAACCTGCAGTCATGCTTCCAAGATCATTTTCATTCTCATTAGCTACATGCAAACGGGAGATGTACATATTGTGTCACATGCTGTAAACAACCGATTTATCTTTTAAACAAATGTATACCATTTTGGCTGCTGGACAGCAACACTTCAATGCTATTTAACCATATGTGCTCCTTTTTTTTGAGGCAGTGTCTTTTCTGTTTCCCAGGCTGGTCTCAAACTTGTGGGCTAAAATGATCCTTCCATCTCAGCCTCCCAAGTAGCTGGGAATACTTGCCCAGCTACCCACATAACTTCAATCCAAAACATTAAGATTTTCCAGCTGTGTTGGCCATTTTCTCTCTGGAGAATTAATTTTGTTGTTCTTTACCTGTTTTCCAACTCAGGTTTTGGTTTATATTTTGTTTTGCAAATTATTGAAAAGGCAGTTTCCGAAAGAACTATAAATGACTAATAAATACATAAACGTTCAACACCATGTTGCAAGTCAAAACTACATTGAGATTCCATCTCACCCCAGTCAGAATGGGTATCATCAAGAAAACAAACATGCTGGGCACCGGTGGCTCACGCCTGTAATCATAGCTACTCCAGAGGCAGAGGTCAAGAGGACTGCAGTTGAAAGCCAGCCCAGGAAAATAGTTCATGAGACCCTATCTCGAAAAACCCTATCACAAAAAATTGGGCTAGAGGAGTGGTTCAAGGCGTAGGCCCTAAATTCAAGCCCCAGCACTGCAAAAAAAAAAAAGAAAAGAAAAAGAAAAAGAAAACATACAACAAATGGTAAGGATGGGAGGATGGCCCTTATACACTGTGGGAATGTAAATTAGTGAGACACTATGAAAATCAGTACTGAGGTTCCTTAATAAAACTAAAACTAGAACTCCACATGATCCTGCCATACCATTCTTGGACATATACTGAAGATATAAGATATATAAGTCAACCTACAGCTGAGGTACCCATACATCCATGTTTACAGCAACACTATTCACAATAGCCAAAATATGAAATCAGCCTAGGTGCCAAGAAAACAGATGAATTGATAAAGAAAATATGGTATGCGTACACAATGGAGAACTGTTCAGCTACAAAGAATGGAATTATGTTGCATGTAGGAAAATGGATGGAACTGGAGCTTATCAAGTGCAGTGAAATAAGCCAGACTCATAAAGACAAACACTGCATGTTTCTCTCATATGTGGAATCTAGTCCTTAAAAATGAATGACAAGAATATAAAACAGGTTCTATTTGGGGGTGTGTACCAGCGGGAGGGGGGTAAGGTAAGGGTGAAAAGGGATGAACGAGGTCGAAGTGCTTTATATCCATGAAAATAAAAGGAAACCTGTTAAAATTACTTTTTAAATTATATTATTGTTGTACTGGGGGGTACACTGTGATTTACAAAAGTTCTTATAATATATCATAGCTGAACTCACCCCCTCCCTAAAACTACTTTTTAAAAGGGGGGAGGAAATCAAAAAAAGTAATAGAGAGGTCAAACTACATCACATGCGTGTATGGAAATATCACAATGAAACAACTAATATATGCTAATAAAAAAGAGAAAAAAAACCCAAAAGGCTTTAACATTGTGCTTCAAGTACTTTTTCTGAGCTTGAATGACATATGGTTTTATTTTTTAACTTTCATGTGGTACAGACAATCCTTCTACATTCCTAACATCCGTTAGGGCTATCAAATTGTCTTCTTAGTTCTATTGCTTTCATTGTTCCTTTTTACTTCTTTTTTTTTTCTTTTATATTTTCCTTTTTAGTCTATCTGAAAGTAATTTTAGTGTGAGGTGTTAACCTTCTGTTTTTATTTTATAAGCAGCCAACTTTCCCTCCATTTTCTACTGGCTTGTGACACTTCTTTAGAATACTGAGTTACATTATAGGCTATTGATTTTGTCCCAGAGATCATTAAATAATAATAATAATAATAATAATAATAATAATAACCTTCCCACCCAGCTATATGGTATTTTCATGAATTTGTGCTAGTAATCTAAAAATGTAGTTGTTTTCATCTATTCAACAAATATTTATGGAGCATCTTGTGTATTTCTTGAAGTTATTTTTACTTAGTTTTTATAGCTACTGAAAATAAAATTTTCCTCCAACACACACCCCATATCTCCCAAGTAGATATTTCAGTTCATAGACGTTTTCTGCATATGTTTTATATACAGCACTTACTAAATGCTTACTCATTCTAAGAAGTCTTTTAGCTGATACTCTTAAGCCCTACAAGTAGTCAATCATAACTAAGAAGAATTATTTCATCCTTTCCCATTATTTTACTCACTTTCTCTCACTAAAAGGGATAGAACTTCTAGGACTGATAGCAAATAGATTTCAGATACAGTCAATGCATCAGTAACTCAGTGAAACAGTGGGTTGAGAAAGATTCTAAAGCCACCTGTTTTGCTTCTGTATCACAACATTGGAGATAAAATCTTCTGAAGGTTCCAGAAGAGCAGCTAAGGCTCACAAAGATGAAGGTCCTAAAACTATCTATTTTGCAGTTGGCTTACTTTTATCTATTATTTGCCACCTTCTGTTTTATTGGGTTTTTTTTCTAACTTTCTATGTTTTTAAATCTTATTTTCTCTTTGAAAATAAAGTATTTAATGCTAGCTATGAATTTACCTCTGATTATCACTTTGGCCATACTTTTACCCTGTTTGTTCACTGTCTGTACTTTTTTCTAATATGTCTTTCTTAATGCTCTCTTATCTTTTTAACCCAACAATTATTTAGAGGGATATTTTTATGCTTTAGAAATCAGAGATTTTTACTTACATTATAATTATTAAATCACTAGGACTTCTGTGCTGCCCTCATTGTTATATATAATTTTAACATTAGGAAATTTGTAATGGGTTATTCACTGAATTTGTCTCTTTTTTTTTTTTTTTTTGGCAGTATTGGGTTTGAACTAGTACTTGCTAGCCACGCCTCCAGCCCTACACTCAATTTCTATACTCTTCTGTAGCTCACTTCATTGGTGAGTATTTTCCTGTCATAACATGGATAATGAGACCTCTTTTATAATGAAATGACAGTCTACACTGCTCCTTATCTCCCATGTTTCCTCTGGCTGGTCTCTAACTTCAGCAGCTCATCTGTCCTCTACAAATACATGTCCACACACTCTTTATGTTCCAGCAACAGACTGGAATTTCTTCCCATATACCAAAGTACATTTGGAGACCCTTTTCTCAAAGTCTAATGAAAACAACTATATTCTAAATTCCAATGCCTCCCAGTCTTCTTCTTCCTACTGTACTTTACTTTTTGATAAATCAAAATGTCATAAAATATACTATAAGGCAGAAGAGACCCAGTATCTTGAAGCCCTGGGATACCACAATGGTTTCAAATCCAAACTGATCATGTAAGAATTCCAGTTGTTCCAGCATATCACCAAAAATGCTATTCTGCAAACTAGTATTTCTCCTGACCAAAAACATCTCAATGCTGTTTTTTTTAAATTAGCATCTGTTAATTGTACAAAGGGGTTTCATTGTGATCTTCCATATAATATACTCTGATCAAATTCACACCTTCTATTTCTTTCTTTCCTTTTTTAATGGTACTAGGGTTTGAACTTAGGGCCCTGTGTTTGCTGGGAAGGCACTCTATCAGTTGGGACATGTCCCCAACCTTTTGCTTCTAAGGGCTGGCCTCAGACTGAGCCCCTCTACCTAATCCTTCTGAGAAGCTGGTATTATAGACATGCACCATAACACTCAGCCCCCTTCTATTATTTTCTTAACTGATCCTCTCCCACCTTTTTTTAAAAACAATTTTTGATGTATTTCATTATTTTACTTTCATATATACAATACATACTTAGACTGAGGGAGTGGCTCAAGTGACAGAGCACAAGACCCTAAGTTCATTCCCTAGTAACACAACACACACACACACACACACACACACACACACACACAACACTGGAGATAAAATCTTCTGAAGGTTCCAGAAGAGCAGCTGAGGCTCACAAAGATGAAGGTCCTAAAACTATCTATTTTGCAGTTGGCTTACT